GTAAACAGAAAGAGGTTTTATAGTTCTGAAATGAATGCAACATTTCCGGGTTTGGCTGAGCAACTTTAGCTGAATATTGTCCAAGCACCTTTTTTTTTTACAAAATCACAGTATTTGTGAAGTGTGAGCGTTGTTGAATGACGTTATGCAATGCGCAAGCTTGTTCAATGAGTTATTAATCCCTTCCATATATCAAATACATTCACGCCTCCAAAAAGTAAGTGAAAGATCTTTCTCAAACATCTGCTTGTGTAGCAAATAAGAAATTCCCTTCCTTCTCTTTACCTAGTCTTTATAAACAATAAACCGAAGATTAATAGCTGCACAGAGAGAAACATCAAGGTATATGATCAACGTGCGTGTTGATTATAGTCACCTGTCAAACGGCTGAAGTACAAGTACAGGACCGAGGAAACGCGTCATATCGCTGCTTTGAATATCTGTGCTTTCATTGTTTATGGAGGCTTATGGAGGCTCACTTCCCTAACACCTGAGCATAATGGAGGACAGTATACTGCCATAGAGACTGATATATTTGCGCTGTTTTGCGTGACCTCCACAGAGTCTCTAGAAAATCACGCCTTGCTTTCGTCTATCTTCCCATAAACTTGATGAACACTGTGAAGTTGTACCGAAGATATACTACTGCTAGGCACCTTTGTAGTAGAATAAACATCATTTCAGTTCCCACTGTTCGTGAGCTAAGGTTTATCAACTCAAAACAGCTTCACATTCCATCTAGCAGGTCCTAAATGCTAACAGTGTTTATTTAATAGGCTGTCTACACGTTTTCGAAGTCAACGAACGAGCTGTAACGTTGGAAATGATGACTACTCGCCGTGTTTACGAGACAACGCGCAACGGCGGGCAGCTGATACAAAGCCAGTAACCGAGTTTGACTATTCTACACTACAATAAACCTAAACTGGTAATTCCCTGGCTATCCATTTTTCTTTGCTCCAGATATGTTAAGGTACGCAACATTTTGCCATAAAGTGCGCTGTCAGCAACCAGTGTGACAGTATAATACGAATAAACACGTCATTTTTGCACTTCCTTTGCTTCTTCGCTGCAGGACTTCATTTGTTACAAGTGTGTAAGGCTCCAGCAATTATAAAAGACGTGACTGC